GAAGCCTCCATGCACCTCGCCATAACCACCTGTAGTCGACCCAATATGACCATTGAAATCCCCTTATATGAATAGCTTCTCAGCAGGAGGAATCTGGCGCACAATCTCATCTAAACCCTCCCAGAAGCGCCGTTTAACCTCCTCGTCTAGGCTCGTATGCGGCGCATAGGCACTAACGGCATTTAGAGTGCACTCTCTAACCACCAACTTAATAATCATCAATCTATCATTCACTCGTCTAACCTCAACCACAGACTCTCTAAGTTCCCTATCCACCAAGATACCTACTCCATTCTTACCCTTCTGGACTCCTGAGTACGAAAGTTTATACCCGTTTGTGTCCCTCGCCCTCGACCCTACCCACCTTGTCTCTTGGACGCACGCTATATTGACCCTCCTCTTCTGGAGGATCTTTGNCCTCCCGACCCGCCCCCCAACACTTGCCCTACCTCCCGCTCCCCCCGAGGACATGACCTCACTCGACCATCCCAGACCACAGCCACTATACCTACGGCAGACTAAAGGGAATCACTAAGACACACAAGGCAACAAATCAAACTAGAAGAAGACAAGCTGCAACTACAGGCACACTAATACGGTGAATAAACAAATATGGACTAAGACAACGACAATTTAACTAATTATAAATTAAAGACACAAGATCAGCAAGATATGTGCAACTAAATACCCTAGACAGTGCTAATAGGGCCGAGAGCAAATACAAAGGATCTAAACAGTACAAGTGAGTCAAACAATTAAATGATCTGAGCAAATAAACCACGGCTATAACACAAGACTATTATAGAAAACACTACAAACAATGAAACAAATTTAAACAAAGTGTATCTACGACAAAGTGTAATGAGACAGGAACGTAGAACCTGGTATCGTCGACGGAGACGGTGGGGCCGATGGTAGTAGTCGAAGAACTGGCCGATGGTGGTAGTCGAATTAGAAACAACAAACTTTATGTCTTCATAATTTGTGTAGTCAATCAAACCACATGTTTCTGATATGAAAATAAAATTTAAAACTATACACATAAGCACAGTCAAAGACAAGTGACTACGTTCCTTGCATATTAGTTTTTATGGAATAATAGGGTGGAGTTATTTGTATTGCTAGAATTAATTTCTTAGAATTTATAATAAAGAACAAAGACGCCAAAACTTAAAATAATTCTAGGTTCGAAAGTTTCTACTTTGATTTTTTTAGTGTTACTTCTCTTTAAAAATATGTTATATCACATAGTGCAAATAAAGGAAAATTTAACATATAAAATCTTATTAATTTCAAAGACCTCATAATTAAATGACTATTTTTAAATATTAAGAAAATAATCAAATGACTATTTTATTCAATGTGAACTCTATTTTAAAAGGATAAAAAAGGCGAAAGATATTTCGCTAAAGACTTTTGTGCTTTTAATATAGTATATATATATATATATATATATATAGAGAGAGAGAGAGAGAGAGAGAGAGTCTCCTGATACTGGTATCTCAATTTCTCAAAATACTTCAATTGGTACACACAAGAAATAGGCTTATTCAGCAGCCTTTTGTTCAATTTCTCGTGGGGTCAAATTCTCGTTAGTACGAGTCAAGGGAGTGGACCTCTGGCCTCGGATGTCCATATAAAGAACACGACTAGTATAAATACCTCTTTAACTTCTATTCTAACGGACCGAATATCTTCTATAAAGAATTGGAGGAATATACGACGATAGTTTTCCGAAAATTAATCCCAAACGAAAAATACAGACTATTTCTTCTCCTTTATATTGAATGGGTCATAATCATTACCTACATTCCAAGGAATTATGCACCACAAATAAGAGCTAAGAAAGATACCCGCAAGATCGATCTATATCAAGCAGACTTGTTTCCAGCCATCAAGGTAGACTGGTTATCGACAGTTCAAATCCACGTGCTATACAAGCAAGAAGTTAGAGAACAAAATAGTGCACACATCAATTTCATAGTACTAAGTCTCTTTTTAAGTTGAAAGTGGAAAAGTTGGCTAATTAAGGAAGCATTGGACCAAGACAGACGCCACTGAAAGAAAGAAAGCGGCAATAGGGATAAAAAAGGAATAGGGCACGTTGCATTTATATTATGAGCTTATAAGTTTTTTGACACCATCATATGTTGATTAATAACTTTTTATAACAAGCCTCATCGACATGAAAAATAGAGTAATAAATTGAACCAATAGTATAGCTGTTTGTTTACACTGATAGTGTATATAACTTAATCAAAGGTATTGTATAACATGTACCTTTGATTGCAGGAGCGGATGCACGCTTAACGAAGCGGTGTCACTCGACACCGCTTCGTGAAATTTTTTTACTAAATATATGTATTAATATTGTGAGAAAACAGATAAGTAGGAAACAATGATACCATTTGACATAAATTGTATTTTGGTGTGTTGGTTATGTGCTTGATTTTGCTCTAAGAGGTTAGATGTTCAAACCTTAACTGGTAATTGTTTTTGCAAATATTTGAGAGAGTCGTTGTGGTTAAAAATTATGATTAAGTAGAATTGAACTCAAGACTTTTTCTAACTTAAGACACAACAAAATCAATAGACTAGGATTATTTTTAGTCCAAAAGTATGATAATTAAAGTTATTATTCCAGTTCTTCCATAAACTTTAAACTTTGACACCGCTTACAAAATTCCCTGCGTATTCCCCTGTTTGATTGTGCTTTCACCATGTTATTGATCTTAGGTACTCTATAGTAGCTATTTTCTTTTGGAGGTTTAGGTTTTATGTCCTCCGGTGTATTATTTGAGTGATATCAATATACAAGATCAGGGGCGGATCTACGTATAAGGGACGGGGTGGTATACGCCACCCGCAAGCTTTGGCCGAATCTATACAATAGTATGTATACATTCATGTATATATAGAAGAAATGTATACAAATACTTTAAGTGGCACCCTCGGTAACAAAAAGGCTCAAGGTACCACTGGCAAGACAGTGCCACTTTCACCCAAATGGTTGGGGTTCGAATCTAAGCTCACTTTTTTAAAAGCTTTTGTTTGGTGCATTTAAGACAATTACAGGGGGATCCTTTGATAAAGAAAAATTAATTGTTTTCTACGGGACCACAACTCTGAAAATTTATTTGCAGAAACTAAAAAAAGAATTCTTGAATAAGTTTTTGTTTTAATCAATGATGAAAGTTTATATTTTTGTCAGATTGCTCTAAAGTAGGACAATTGTATATAATATCGAGTGAGTTAATTTTTATGAAAAATATAAATTGAAAAATATCCATAAACTTACTTAATATTTAGAGTGCTTAGTATAAGTTTTTGCCTTAAGTATCTAAATATAAAGTGATAACGAGTCATTTTTCTTATACAAAATGCATAATCCAGTTGAATTTTTATATTTTTTTCCCAAGTTATCATAATTATTACGTAATCTTTTTGCTCGATCTATTTGTTTATATTAACTCCAAAGACGAATAACCCGAACGAAACCCAAATAGACCAAATCGATTAAATTTATAACCTATTAGATAATGTAAATTATAATATGACTACGTTCAAAAGTTTTGGTACCCGTAGCCTCTAAATCCTGGAACTGTTTCTGACAAGATAGGAGGTTTTTGCCAAACACCCTACCACCTCGGGAGGTGAAAGCTCCGGTGGATGGATTTAATTTTTATAAACAAATATTATTTACTCTCCCATGACTAGTAAAAAAGAAGTTTACAAGTGCTTTATAGTCAAGTAAGGCAACAGCTGCAACAAGAATTTCAAAAGAAATAATTAATTAAGTCAAGCAAGGTTATTTTTCGTCCAAAAGTATGATAATTAAAATTATTATTCCAGTTCTTCTATAAATTTTGACACCGTTTAAAAATTTTTTCGCATATACCCTGTTTGATTGTTATGTCCCTCGGTATATTATTTGAGTGATATCAATATACGGGTCTTTGCCAAACCCCCCACCACCACCTCGGCAGGTGAAAGCCCCGGTGGATGGATTTAATTTTAAAAGAAATATTATTTACTCTCCCATGACTAGTAAAAAAGAAGTTTACAAGTGCTTTATAGTCAAGTAAGGCAACAACTGCAACAAGAATTTCAAAAGAGAAATAATTAATTAAGTCAAGTAAGGTTATTTTTCATTCAAAAGTATGATAATTAAAATTATTATTCCAGTTCTTCTATAAATTTTGACACCGCTTACAAAATTTTCCGCATATACCCTGTTTGATTGTTATGTCCCTCGGTATATTATTTGAGTGATATCAATATACAAGATCGGGGGTCTTTGCCAAACCCCCCACCACCACCTCGGCAGGTGAAAGCCCCGGTGGATGGATTTAATTTTTAAAAAAAATACTGTATTATTTACTCTCCCATGACTAGTAAAAAAGTTTACAAGTGCTTTATAGTCAAGTAAGGCAACCTGTTGCAACAAGAGTTTCAAAAGAGAAATAATTAGTTAAGGTTGTTTGCATACTACTGAGAAAGACTCTCATCATAGCTATAAATACCCATACATTCTTTTCCATTTCGATCATCACTTAGCTTGTTCAGTTCTCTGCACCAAGAAATAAAAGATAAAAGCAAAACAAAGGAAAAAAAAAAAAAACCTCTTTAACTTGCTTTTAATTTCCACTAGCTTATATCCAGTTTTCTAGAAATGGCCCAAGCTGCCCTCATTAACAACGATGAGAAGATTGTTCGTCCAGTTGCCAATTTCTCTCCAAGTCTTTGGGGTGACAGTTTCCATTCATTCTCTGTTGACAATCAGGTATTTATATATTATGCATAGTCTTTTTAAGTTGACGTTACATGAACTTAATAAATACATTCACAGGTGGCAGAAAAATATGGTCAAGAGATTGAAACATTGAAGGAGGAAACAAGGAGTATGTTGGGAGCAGCTTGTGAAAGATCATTGGCTGAAAAGCTGAATCTGATAGACACTGTTGAGCGCCTTGGCTTAGCTTATCATTTTGAGAAACAAATAGAAGACATGTTGGATGAGATTTATAAAGAAGATCCAAACTTTGAAGGTCATGAGTACAATGATTTGTACACTTGTGCCCTTCAATTTCGAATGTTGAGACAACATGGTTACAATATCTCCCCAAGTAGGTCCATTATATATTCTTACACCAATTTTTCAACTTTTGCTGCATGAAAACTAATCTTTTGTTTTTATTCATGATCCAGAAATTTTCAGCAGATTCCAAGACGCAAACGGAAAATTCAAGGAGTCTCTTAGTCTTAGTAATGATGCAAAGGGTCTATTGAGCTTATACGAAGCTTCACATGTAAGGATTCATGGAGAGGATATTTTGGAAGAGGCACTTGCTTTTGCCACTGCTCATCTTGAATCTGCAACTCCACATTTGAAGTCACCTCTGAGTAAGCAAGTGATGCATGCTCTTGAGCAATCTCTGCATAAAAGCATTCCAAGAGTGGAGACGCGTTACTTCATCTCTATCTACGAAGAGGAGGAACTGAAAAATGATGTGCTACTTCGATTTGCTAAATTAGATTACAACTTACTTCAGATTTTGCATAAACAAGAACTCAGCCAAGTATCAAGGTACAATGATATGTTTTACGTAAAAAAACATATAAATTATTTGTTCATAATAATTTCTCATATTCTAAGGTTATTTTGTAGGTGGTGGAAAGATTTGGATTTTGTGACAACACTTCCATATGCTAGGGATAGAGCTGTTGAATGCTACTTTTGGACGATGGGGGTGTATGCTGAACCTCAATATTCTCAGGCTCGTGTCATGCTTGCTAAGACTATAGCAATGATTTCGATAGTAGATGACACATTCGATGCTTATGGCATTGTAAAAGAACTTGAGGTCTACACTGATGCCATACAGAGGTATAAACTCGTGTTTCCACAATTTATGAATTTATTAGATGGTTTCTTAAATGGGAAACTTACTATATGTTAAATTTTTTTATGTATTAGGTGGGATATTAGTCAAATTGATCGACTCCCAGACTACATGAAAATCAGTTTTAAGGCTCTTATAGACCTTTATGAAGATTATGAAAAGGAATTGTCAACGGATGGCAGATCCTATGTTGTCCACTATGCGAAAGAAAGAGTATGACTCACTGATTTATATATAACGTTTTATATCTATCTTATTTTTCTTTATAATCAGATTTATTGTTGGAATATTATATTGATTAATTTTTGTTTGTGTTAAATAGATGAAGGAAATTGTGAGAAATTATTTTGTCGAAGCAAAGTGGTTCATTGAGGGATATATGCCACCTGTTTCTGAGTATCTTAACAATGCATTAGCTACTAGCACATATTACTTGCTAACTACAACATCCTACTTGGGAATGAAATCAGCTGCCAGGGAAGATTTTGAGTGGTTGGCTACCAACCCTAAAATTTTGGAAGCCAATGTAACATTATGTCGAGTTGTAGATGACATTGCCACATATGAGGTACACATCGATCGCATTACATTAAATTAAAGCATCTTATATGATTGTTGCGGTTAAAAATATATATAATTGTAATTGCTATTTTAGGTTGAGAAGGGTAGGGGCCAAATTGCAACAGGAATTGAGTGTTATATGAGGGATTATGGCGTATCAACAGAAGTAGCAATGGAAAAATTCCAAGAAATGGCTGAGATAGCATGGAAGGATGTGAATGAAGGAATTCTTCGACCAACTCCTGTTTCTACAGAAATTCTCACTCGTATTCTCAATCTCGCTCGTATTATAGATGTCACTTACAAGCACAATCAAGATGGATACACTCATCCAGAAAAGGTTCTAAAACCTCACATCATCGCTTTACTGGTGGACTCCATTGAAATCTAAACCATTGAGTGCTTTTTTCATCTCGGTGATCGTTTTATTTTTATTTTTAAATAAAGGATCAGAACTGTGTTTCTGTGTTCCTCTTTATATAAGCAAGTTGAGTTTCCTACTTCTGTTCAAACCCTGTGTTTGTTCTTGGCGTCTGAATAATATAATTTTGTTTGCCTAACTTTCTTCTTCTTGTTTGTTAAATTAACTGTTGGTTGCTGCTGAAAAAAATAAACGTAAAATATGTGACACAATACTTAAGCGCCACATATAATTAGCTCGTGTATCAGCAGAAAAAGAAAACCAGGATAATTTGTGAGTATTTTGTAAGTGGAGGAGAACTCTGAGAATTTCCAAATGTTTTGGGAGTGAAAGAATGTCACTTCTTAGAAAAACACACTTAAACCACTTCTTCAACAAATAGCTTTAAAAAATAAAAACTTTTTGCAAAAATTTCTTGAGGAAACTTAAACAAACACATTTTTAGAAACCACTAATTGTCACATAATGTACTACTTTTCCTATCCTGATTATTTTTTTGGTTTATTTAGCTTCCTAGGCCTATCCGTTTGATCAGTTTTGAAAGTGAAACAAAGAAAGGATATTAGTTCATCTTTTGAAGAAAACAATTCCAAGACTTGAATCCAGTATAATGCATAAGTAAGATTAAAAGGAAAAAGCTATCTCGATTTTGAATTCTGAAATTCATTTCTGTATAGTTCTCAGACAGAGGACAGAAGTTTCTATTAAGATCATAGCACAATAATTAACATTATATTTAAAGATTCTAACTATCTTTACCAAATGTGGAAGTTCAGAAAAAGCCTTTCTGCGTCATGTTTACACTCAAAAGTAAGGCTAGTAGTAAGCAAGGTATTTTCTCGATAGGCGCAAAGAACTGTTTCCTATTTGTTCTGTTATCTTTCAGCAACAAGGTTAAAAATAGTAAATGACGATCATTTTGGGTATCTTACCTTAAAAGAAATTAATTTTGTTATCTTTCGTAGATCGGAAAATGTAATTTTACTGGAATGTTGTGGTGAAAGTGAATCCGTAGCTTATAGATAAAGTATTAGTTGTCAATTGTGGTGTCATATGATGTATATAGTACTTGTGTTCATACTCAATGATGTTTGAGAGTTTGAGAGCATATCAGAAATAGAACATAACAGGGATAACTTGCGTCATATACATAGGTTGCTGATGTATGTATCCACAATTTCAGAGGTTGAAACCTAAAGAAACAACAATAGGAGAATACTATATAAGAGTACGAAAAAGTTAAAGCTAAGGTCTTAAAAGCTTTTACATTTGGCTGCAGTGAGCAAAGATTATTTTTTCTAATTTTTTTGTTCTAGTTAAGTTAGACGGTTGCTCTGATGGCAAGCAACCTCTACTTTCAACCAAGAGGTTGTGAGTTCGAGTCACCCAAGAACAAGGTGGGGAGTTCTTGGAGGGAAGGATGCCGAGGGTCTATTGGAAACAGCCTCTCTACCTCATGGTAGGGGTAAGGTCTGCGTACACACTACCCTCCCCAGACCCACTAGTGGAATTATACTGGGTTGTTGTTGTTGTTGTTGTTGATATGTTGGTTGTAGTAACCAATTTTTGTTAAAGAAAATAGAAACAAAGGGAGAAAATTACATGTTACAGAGAAAAAAGTGTTCATTTCCCCCCTTTAGCAATTTTTACTTTGGCGAACCTGTTCAGGCATTCAGAAATGTGTGACCATCATATTCCAACAAAATGGATAAAAAGAAATTCAGCAATGCCATGTATCATCACTTATGAATCCATTTGTTTAAATAGGCATTCTAAAAAAAGAACATTCCTTTGGTCACAAATTCAATTCAAAGACCGAAGAGTAAAGCATAAAGCGATCGTTCATTGAAAAATCTGTGTTCAATTTTATCGTTAAATTAGTCTTCTAATGGAAAACATGTGCTCCTAGAGTGAGAATAAAAGATAGCTGCATAACTTAAGTTAAGGGCAGACCTTAATTCCAGGGTACTTTATTTTGACCATAAGATATAATACTTTCACTGATTCTCTTCTCTTTAGATTATGGAATGAACAAGCACATAGAAGAGAAAGTTAAAATGAATAATAACAACAATAATTTGCAGCATGAAATCGACAAAATTTGAAAAGAAGTAGAAGAAGATAAAATCAAAAATTGAGGGTTTACCTAAAATTGCTGAGAAGATGAATGGATCTATTAAGAGAGTAGTCCTTCAGAAAGCTACCGAGATTCTAGAGTTTGTATCAGATATTTTGCAAAAGAAATAAAGGCACGCAGTTTCACACATAAAAATTTAAAGGGCTCAGATTTCGCGGTGGTTGGAGATTGAGACCCAGATCTTCACATAAATCTGTTGCTTTTAGCCTTCATAGTTGTTTAACAGGGAGATACATGTAAATTATCGTAGAAATGGGAGAGTTGTCTTTCACGTGTGAAATGACGATTTTACCCTTGGTCGTCCAACAAAGCTTCACTTATTATTATTATATAGCTAAAAAAAATAAAAGTAGCGACTCTAAAAATACAAGTATTTGATAAATGTTATAAAATAAAAATAATTTAGTAAAACATGAACAAGAAATTGAGATAGAGAGAAGGAAGAGATTTTCTTATTCAATTGTGTGTATTTTCTTATCTATTACAAGACTTTTATATAGACATGAAAAGTGAAGAAAAATATGTCATTAAATATGTTATTGAATATGTCATTAAGCATTTGAGAAGATCATGGAGGAAGAGTAGACATCCACCATAATTTGATTTTTCTTATAACAGTAAATCACTTGGATGTCCATAGATAATGTGTCTCGTTAAAATCTTATTAGGAAAAAACCTTATGGGAAAAAATCCTAGTGAAGGAAAAAGAGTACACATGTTTAGAAATACGCCTTTTGATTGCCTCGTTAAAAACCTTGCAAGGAAAACCCAGTGGGGCAAAACCTTGTAAGGGAAAAATAGTACAATGCGTATTAACTCCCCCTGATGGGAGCATCAATTCACATCCTTGAGCCTTCGCATCCCAATCTTGTACACTAGTTTCTTGAAGGTTGACGTCGGTAGAGATTTGGTGAACAGATCAGCCATATTATCACTTGAACGGATCTGTTGCACATTGATATCACCATTCTTTTGACGATCATGTGTGAAAAATAGCTTTGGTGAAATTTGTTTTGTCATGTCCCCTTTATGAATCCTCCCTTCAACTGGGCTATGCATGTTGCATTGTCTTCATATAAAATTGTGGGTAGTTTGTCATACTTCAAACCACATTTGTCTCGAATAAGGTGTATTATATACCTCAACCATACACATTCTCGACTTGCTTCATGAATAGCAATTATCTAAGCATGATTAGATGAAGTAGCCACGATTGATTGCTTAGTCGATCGCCAAGATATGGCAGCGCCTCCATATGTAAACACATAGCCTGTTTGAGATCGAGCCTTATGTGGGTCATATAAATACCCAGCATCGACATAACCAACAAGATCAGGACCGCAATCATTGCCATAAAATAATCCCATATCGGTAGTCCCTTTTAGATACCGCAATATGTGTTTGATTCCATTCCAATGTCTCCTTGTAGGAGCAGAGTTATATCTTATTAAGATATTCACTGAAAAAGTTATGTCAGACCTTGTAATGTTAGAAAGATACATTAGTGCACCAATTGCACTAAGATATGGTACTTCGGGACCAAGAAGCTCTTCATTATTTTCATGAGGTCGGAATGGATGTGCTTTATCCATATATAATCGCTTTAAAATCATTTTAGTGTATGTTGATTGATGGACAAAAATTCCATCTTTCATATACTCAATTTGTAGACCAAGACAAAATTTTGTCTTTCCAAGATCTTTCATTTCAAATTCTTTCTTTAAATAGTCTACTGCTTTAGGAAGCTCCCTAGGAGTTCCAATGATATTTAAATCATCAACATACACGGTGATTATAACAAATTTAGATCCAGATCTGTGATGACCCAAAATGTCATCTTTAAATTTAATAATTAATTCTGTGTTCTAAGACCTCAAAAATTACTATTTATCCTTCTTCGACTTGCGTGCACAGTCCATAAAATTTTTCGAAAAGTTTTCAGGTGAAAAATGGATTAAAATGTGAATTAGAGCTTTAAAACTCAACTGAATTGACTTTGGTCAATATTTTGAGCAAACGGACTCGGATAAGTATTTTAACAGTTTCGGTAGGTCCGTATCGTTATTTGGGACTTAGGCGTATGCCCGGAATCAAATTCCGAGGTCCCTAGCCCGAGATATAGAATTTTGATGAAAAATTTAAAGTTTAAGTTTAAATAGTGAACGGATGTCGAATTATGTACAAATGACCCCGGAATAGAATTTTGATGATTCCAACAGCTCCGTATGGTGATTTTGGACTTAGGAGCGTGATCGGAATTTTATTTGAAAGTCCGTAGTAAAATTAGATTTGAAATGGCTAAAATAGGAATTTAAAGTTTGGAAGTTTGACCGGGGAGTTGACTTTTTAATATCGGGCTCGGAATTCAATTCTAAAAATTTTTACAGCTCCGTTATGTCAAAAATCGGGCTGCTCAAAATCAAGGTCCCTATCAAAATCGAGGTCCCTGTCAAAATCGAGGTCCCTGTCAAAATCGAGGTCCCTGACAAAATCGAGGTCCCTGACAAAATCGAGGTCCCTAACAAA